GCGGCGAGCGCCGCTTGTCGCTCGCCGCTTATCGCACGCCGCGCGCCTAGCGACCGTAGTCTGTAGGCGGTCGTATCTCAGCCGTGCGTTCGCATTCGGTAATCTTTAATAATTAATATCTCTTTAACCCTTGTGAAAATTGTAAAATGGTAGAGGACTTTTCGGTTCAGTTTGGTCTGCTCTACCGGCATACGGCCGCTGTGTCAAAATTTTTGGGACACCCTGTATATCTATTAGTCCTAAATATGTTCAACTCTCTCTAATTCTTTACTTCTTTCTTCCTGGAATTATTAGTTTGGTCGATTTTTATTTTGCGATTTGTCGAATGTCTATTCTTTTATCTAACGATTTCGGAGCAATACATATTAATTTCAGGTGCGTGTTTCATTAATTTTATTTTATAATTTAACTTCTTTTATTTTATGTCTTGTTTAAATTAATGTTTTACAGTCTCATTGTTAAACAATTATAATTTGACGAATATGACTGTACATTCTACTCAATCCAAGAATAGGAACATCTATTATGTTACTATTTATTTAACTTACGTTTATTATTATGTTCTGTTTCATTTCACAACTGAAAATAATCAAAACTTATAGTCGAAACATTTTGTTTAATATTGTTGTATTGTATTGTATTTGTATTTAAAAAAAGCAATAACTTTGGCTATACTGTTATTTATTATTTGTTCAATAAGAGAACTTTGACCTTGTTCATTAACTATAATTTAATAATTTTGAATAATATTCTAAATTTTTAAATTTTTAGTTATTACATATCATGTTACATAATCTGTTTTTCAATAAATTTATCTTAAATACACAACTCATTATTTAAATATCTAATAAATAAAAATTAAAGTTTTATCTTTATAAACTCTGATACATAAGTATAAATAAACTTATTTTTGAATAAAAATTTATTCGTTATAAATAAATTTATTACTCTCTTATTCGTTATTTGAAATAAAATTTATCCAACTTTGATCGGATGTCAGTTTCAAGAAATTATCAATTCGTCAGTTTATTCATTTTGCTATTTTTTTTATGGTCAATTGTTGGCATAATGTAACTTTGAAATATAATATTATTTCAGTGAATGTTGTACAAGGATCTCTTCGGAGGCCCGTGGGGTCTGCTGATTATAATCGTGATAGGAGTAACAATCGTTCTGATCGCGTTGCTTGTATTTGCCTGCTTTCTGACACCTGGTTGCATCGGCTATGAGTGCTTCAGGAAACAAAGTAAGATTATTAAATGTTTTAATTAAATCTCTTTCTTTTATATTAAGCATGATTGTTTGTCTGCAACCCAGTTTCGGAATGTTCGACAGCTGACATTAAGTAACAACTTAATAAAATTAATGTCGTTAAGCGCAGCGCCAATTAAGCATGATTATGCGTTGTTTTTGGTGCAAAATACTTGGCACCGATCTACTCGACGTACCAATTTCATATTTCGCTTTTCTAATCACGTGTGCGAGCTCTGCACTTATGCGTATATACATATTTGCGTACACAAAGTGTGTGAGCATCACAAAAAGATCACACTGTAATCGTTTTTGCAATTATTATTGCATATATAATGGATAGTTTTTGGTTGCTGATAAAAATAAAACAGCCATTTTTAAAATAACGTTCGATACTTCTTTATTTTTTAATAATTACATAACTGTTTATTTTTTAATTAATTTTTCTGAAGCACATTCGATTATTTAATGTTCAACAAATAAAAAATAGAATTTTATTTATATACAAATACTGATATAAATACAAATAAAAATTTATTTCCTACTAAAAAATTTGGTAAATTTAGTTTTGAGTTATAGCAAACACATCTACGATGACACTTATGTCAAAAAACAATATTTTTTTTGTAACGAGCATTCATTATATATGAATTTATTTATAATAATTTCTTAAGTAATAAATATTTATAATTTTGCGAATACGCGCAACTTACGCCTTTGCATTATGTAGCATGACATATATGTATAGACTTGAATAAATGACGTTTCCTTCGTTTCTTCAGCAGCGTTATGTAATTATACACATCAGCTAACCGACACAATGCATAACCTTCCGATAATATTGCGGGAAAACGTCCGAGTGATGTTATATCGCCACTTTGAATATTTTATGTGCATCTATTGAGTTTAACAATTTTATAAGTTAAATTTAGTACATGCTGTGTTATGCAACTATTATACAAATATTATCAATGATCATAGCCTTTGTGATAAGATTCAGCAACAATAGCTTAATTGATATTTAAAGCTGCTTGTATAGTAAAAATATTCAGATATTATATAAATGCTGAAGAGAGAGAGAGAGAGAGTACAATTGTCGTAATAAATAATGCATAAGATCTATGCCGAAAATTTATACTCGATGAAGAATGTGAGAACATATTCTTAAATCATTGTAATCTAAGACAAAAATAAATATAATATTCCTAAAATGATTTTTCATAGGCAAAGAAGACAAGAATGTTCATCTGCGAGAAACGAATCGAGAAAAGGAAAACTTAAAGCTGAGTGATGTCAGTTACAGATCTTGGAGATTGGGCAGTCTTTATGAAAATGACAACAACGGTATGAATCTTTTACTTATGTTTTACTTAAGAAAATATATTAACTATATGTATAATATTTAACTAAAAAGTATTGAAGTTCAAAAACAATCTATTTCTTGTTTCATATTAAAATAGATTGTTTCATATTAATAAATTCCTATTATGCAGAGGATTTTACAATATTACAAATTTATAATAAATTTTCACGTTTTTATTGTAAAAAATATTTGTAATTAATATTTTCTTATATTTTTATATTTTACTGCATTTTTACGCAAATAACTTTTAACCGATTAGTAAATTTAAAAAGTTTACGAATATTTGTTACAATTCTGTTAGTATAGTATATAAAAAATTTAATCTGATAGGTATGTTTATTTTTATCAGGTTTATTAATAAAAGCTACAGTATATTCTCTATAAAAATCAATGGAAACATTCAATAATTTTTTAACTAATCAGAAAATGATTTCTAGGTTTTACGCAAATATTTAGAAAATACATTTTGCCAATACTTTAACATACAATCCATTTTTTAATTTACACTTGAGAGACTATTTTTTTTTATTGGCTTTATTTGTTTCTTAAATTATTTTGCAGCTTATTTCATTTTCTTCAATTATATTTCACTATAATTTGTCACTTGTTGTATTATGCAAAAAAAGTACAAAACAAGTAAAAATTATGTACTATTAAACAAATCAGAGTTTGTAGATAACAACATGTGTACTGCAATAAACACTACTTTAATAACACTTTAATCAAACTAATTAAAACATATTAATATTCATATTAATTTTAATAAATTGCTATTGTAAAATAATTCTAAATTAGTTATTTGCACAAAGATCTTGTCAAAATTAATCTTAACAAGTTTTATTTAATATTTATTTTTCGCTCATCATAAAACAAATACTATTATTTTTTATAAACATTTTTCTCTTATAAACATATATTTATTCTTTTTGTAAACATTATAAATTTACCTAGTTTTGTTACCTAGTTTAGTTTAATTAATAGTGATATATAAGAGCGTGTGAGACTAGGACATATAGGCCTTAAATAAATTACTCAGTGCATTTGTTTCTCTATAACTACTCGTTGGTAGTCTAAAGTTAAAGCAGCAATCCCAGGTTAAGCTAGGAATAGACTATAGAATATTTGTGCTGTAACTGAACAGCGTTTCGAACAGAACACTATTCGGTTCAGTGTTCTGTCCGATTCGGCACTCCTTTCTAACAAACAGATTTTGTGACACTCGGGCGGTATAAAACCCGTACACACTATCGAACATATTACAGTAATCTGTTCGAAACGCTGTTCAGTTACGGCAAATATTCTATAGTCTATTCATAGCTTAAGGATCGACAAGAGTGACGGCCCGAGTCCGGACTGGATTTTGGTGACCTCATGCGGGGAAACTAAGAAACTTCGAACAAGGACAAATACTTCCTTGTCTCTGTAAATGCTCTGTCCGAGATACGAGTATTAGCTGAAAATGCTTAGACGTCTTGCGGCAGAAGATAGTAGCGTAGTAAGGCTAGCGAGTGTCCGCTTATCATACATTTCATATTTTCGTATGTATGTATGTGTGTATATGTATATAAATTGTTGATAAATATTATGTGCATATTAAAATAACTTATATTGATTAATAATAACAATAAAATATACAGAAGAGAATTTCTTATCAATAAAATACAGACACCTGATAGACTTGCGAACTCATTGCTTTTTTACTTATTCTATTCCATACAAAATAATCAAAGCATAACATTGATTAAAAAGATTTTTTTGCTATGATTTTAGAAAAAATAGAAAAAAGCTAAAATAACTTGTATATATAAACATGAACATACATACGCAATAATGCAGCAATTTGACTTTATTTTTGAGAAAATAATTATTAAATTTATGTGATTAAAACATATTTTTTATAATACTCAAAATCACACAAATGCTTTGTAAACATTAAGAACTTGAAGAAAATAAAATTTAATATAGATACAAATTTAATTTTTGAGAATTAAAATTATTTTCTTTTTACTTACAAAGGAACGTTTACAAGTGCCCCCCGCCCCCGATTTGATTTTTTTTGAAATATGTTGTAAAACATACAATACAATTTGAGGAGACACGTATTTTTTTATAGCAGCCCTAACTCAAATTTAAAGGGTAAAACACCCCTTTGAAAAAAAACGGGTTTTTTCTTTGTGTGTAAATATCACCAAAACCGTAGGAGATATAAAAAAATGTTTCAAATAGAAATTATATGGCTTGTAATGGGCTTTATAACTGTGTGGTTGGATTTTCAAAAAATGTAATTTTTTAAATTTACCCTTACCCCTTATTATTTTTTCAAATTTAAAAATTTTTGTAATGACAAAAGTTGTAGCATTTTTTACGCTAAATTCAACCATATATATGATTTTATTATGTTCCGAAATCGCATCTTTCAAAAATGAGTCATTAGTATCACACTATATGCATCGCGCTGCATGACACATCGTTTATACCGCATTTGTGTTGCGCAATAGTCGTTAAATAAATATAAAAATGACATGTTATCACATATTTGAGGAAGAAAAGTTAACTAAAATTGTTGCTAAAGCATCCCTTCCACATTACACCCTTATAGATAATCGCTGTATTTTGTGCGCAGCGCGTTGTCATATGCAAGTTAGCTATTGGCGCATATTACGCTTTGAAGTTTTGCTTGTAGTGACCACAGGAAAATAATTTATGAAACGAAAACAGTAAATGAATCAATCTCTTTAACATATATCCACCCTGACTCTACCCTCTTGGCCCGACTTGACAATTAAATTTTTTTATTTTTTTTTATTTTAGTAGGAGGTGAAAAAATCTTCTAAAGACACCCACGTTGGAGCAGCGGGTAGTGTGGGATTTTCACTAAAAAAACACCGCCACCTTAATCGACTTAAAGTAAACCGACTAGCGACTTATGCTTCATTTTTGTAATAATCACATGGGTGGTGCACTTAACATAGGATAAGCCTCCTCTTGGATTTTAGACCATTAGTTTGTATGGTTTAGTTCTCTTGAGTCGTCGGGGTATGTTTGCTGCGTTGAGGACTGCATTCATCTCGGAGTTTTCATGTTTTTGCAACCGCAAATTGTGGTTAGTTGCATATTTTTTAATCGCTTCAGCAACTGGTTTAATGTGTAGATCGCGGTGTAAGTCACTGTTCCGAACGTACCATGGGACATTGACAATGCCTCGTAGTACTTTATTTTGGAATGTTTGTATCTGTTGGACATTTGTTTTCTTCCTACATCCCCAAATTTGGACCCCATAGGTCTAGATTGGTTTTAAGATATTATTATAGATTCTTATTTTATTCTCAAAACCGAAAGTTCTGAGTTTCGTCCTATCAGCCAGTAAAGTTGTCTGTATTTTATGTTTAATTCTTCTCTTTTCTTCTTTATATGGTCTTTCCATTTTAATTTAACATCTAAATTCATTCCCAGATATTTTGCTGTATTAGCATAGAGGATAACTCTATTGTTAATAAATATAAGATGTGGTTTTACTTTATTGTATGTAAAGATGATATGAGTAGATTTAGTTTCATTTAATTTAATCCGCCATTTTTGTGTCCATTGACTTACTTTATTTATTACGTTTTGAAGTTTTTTAGTAGCTTCCGTTAAGTGTTTGTCCGCTGTGATAATAGCTGTATCATCGCTAGCTGAATGTCGCTGTCATTACTTGTTCGTTAATTATCAGGTCTCTTGTGTAGAGGAGGTACAATACCGGACCGAGTACGCTGCCTTGCGGTACTCCCGCTAGAATCTACTTCGATTCAGAGTATTGATTGCCATAGCGTACTTTAAAGTTCCTGTTCGATAGATAAGACTTAAGGATCTCATAATATTGTTTTGATCTCTATGTAGTTTGAATTCTAAACCTACGTGCCAGACTTTATCGAATGCCTGGACTACATCTAAGAATACTGCTGTGTAGACCTTTTTCTCCTCAAAAGCCTTTTCGATCTTATTTCTAATGCCATGTACTTGATCAATTGTAGAATGATTAGTCCTAAAACCAAATTAGTGATTCGAGAGCAATTGTCTTTCTTTAATTATGCTATTTAATCTTTTCAATAATACTTTTTCAAAAATCTTTGACATAATAGGAAGTAAGGATATTAGCCGATACGATGTCACTTCAGCAGGCGGTTTTCCTGGTGACGATTACTTTTGCAGTTTTCCAGGGTTTTGGAACATATCTTAATTTAAAACATTTATTATACAGGGTGAGGCAAAAGTATGGAAACCCCCAAATAAGTTTTGAGGAAGGCATTTTACAAAAAATGTTAAATACAAAAGTTTTAGGAAATTTTTCTGGCTTTTCAATGGTGACCTTGGATTTGACCTTGACCGTGACCTTGAAGGTCATTTGAAGGTCAGAGTGATTTTTTTAAATGGAAACCTCTATTTTTATTCCAAAATTTAATAGCTGGTGTCAAGAGCTTTTTCAAAACACTATAATGAAGTTATTTTTCATTAAGTACTTTTCGAGTTATGAGGCTTGT